CACCTGGGGAGGAGGGTAATCAGGCCGCTGGGCACAGTGCCTGGCGTCTGGAATATTCATAAGGCCCCTCCAGCTGTGCCAGGCAATCAGGGTGCTGATTGCTCCCCCATCTGCAGCTTAACATTCCACTCTAGAGAGGAGTGAGCTGGCGGCTGAATGTTAACTAGGGAGAGAACAGCTCTGGCCTTCACAACAGCAGCCTGAACAAGAGCCCAGGGAAAGAAAACCCCACTCCCTCGAGATCTGCCAGCCAGCCAGGGCTTAGCCGCTCACTGCCTTGTGGGCAGTGGAAAGAGTGGTGGATTAGGGAAGGAGTGAGCTGGCTTCCAGCCCAGCTTCCCCCCACCAGCTGTATGCCTGTCTCTGCTGCCTCAGTTTCCCTGACTCTAAAATGGACTGGCTCTGCCTACCAACAGAGACACTGATTAGGAGAATGTGTGGGCTAGCGTGTGTGCAGAAAGGCAAGGCATTGGCGTCGCTGTTTGTAGCTGCGGACATGCATCCTAGCCTGGAGAAAAGTTTTTAATCACAAATATTGAAACCTCAGGCCAGCTGGCTTTGAGTAAAACTGAACAAAGGGAGAGAAGTTCCCTGGAAGAGTTGGGGCCTCTCTCAGAAAGCTGGGGTGCGGGGCAGGTAATTCAGGGGTCTTGTGCTATTTTCATCTGACCCAAACCTCTTGGAAAAGTAAGAAAGGAATGGTAGGGACACCTGGCAGTAGATGGGGGAAAATGTAGAAAAGAATTACAAAAGCAAACAGTTTTCTGTGGCTTTCTGGCTGCTGAGGAAAAGCGTGGAACCATTCAGAGAGGGACATAAGCAAGCCATCACGGTCTCGCAGCTCATAATCCACACCGAAAGCCAGGCTTTGGAGTGGCCAAGAAATGGCCAAAATCTTTTCCATGTTTGAATTGAATAATGCAGGAAACTACTTCTGGAGAGATTTCTATCAAACTGAGGGGGAAAGTCTGGAGCTCAAACGATGTAAGCTCCTTCCTAGAACAGCGGCCACCGTAGAACAGCACATCTCCACCACTGCCGGCCACGAAGGGGTTCCGAAGTAGGCCTCCCTCTTACTCTTTCGGTCAGCCCTGCCTCTCCTCTTCTCCCCCCAAGAATAGCCAGGCCCAGGCCAGGGACTCAGTCTTCCCACAGGGGGCAGGAGGTCATGGCAGCTCAGCCCAGGGAGGGGAGGAGAGGGGCAGCACTTCTCCTGGAGGGGACCTGCTCCTCGGAGTCTCAGGCACCCAGGTCTCCAGTCTCAAAGGGAATGAACTGCTGCAATCAGGGAGCTGCCTCACCCTCCAGCCAGCCACAACCCCCCCACCAGGACGCCCTCCTCCCTGCCCACACTTCCTCAGTTCCTTTACCTTGGAGGTTTCTCCTCCAGCTCATACGCAAGTGTGTTAAGCTTGGAGGAAACACTTGCTAAACCAAGAGTCCCCAATCCACCCCCTGCACATCCTCTGAAACCTCAGGGGCTCCCCCTTCATGTCAACACATTGCTTTCCTTGTGTTTTTTCCTAAAGTACTAAACACTGACTGTTCATGCTAAGAAAAATTTAGAAAAACATAGCTTTAAAAGAGGGGAAAACAGGGGCCTCGCTGGTGGCAAAGGGGTTAAGTCTCAGCACAATGAAGCAATACACAGCCACTGCAGCAGGAGTTAGATCCCAGGCCAGGGAGCTACCCACATGGGGTCAGACCTCTCCTGTCTTGCCAGCTGCTCCCCTTGTATTTCAGTGGATCGTCCTGTGTATTTCAGTTGGTCCACCTGTTCTACTCCCCATTCTGTCACTGATGAATCCTCTCACCCTCCAGGCACCTCTGGCCTACACCCCAGCTCTTGTATGCATAAATAAATCAATCTTTAAAAAAAAAGAGAGAGAAAACAAAAGAACTTTCATGATCCCAATACTCAGAGAGAATACTTTCAACACTAGCTGTGTATTCTGTCTTTTCCAGGTAGGTAGATGGACAGATATATATTTGTTATTGGGATTAAGCTTATCTCACTTTTTTTTTTTTCACTTAACAGTAGACCATAGAATTTTCTCTCCTTAAATACTTCCTTGCATCAGTAGTTTTCATAGTGTGGTCTGGGGACCACTGAGGATCCCCAAGTCCTTTTCAGGGAGTCCTTAGAGTCAATACTCTTTCCACGATGATACCAAGACATTATTTGCCTTTTTAGGCTCATCCCCTACAGAGCAAGGTGGACTTCCCCTAGGCTGCAAGGTGGATGACACAGCAACAGGCTGAAGGCACAGGCAGACCGGAAAATCCAGCACTGCTATTCAGCCAGACTGATTGAAAGAGGAAAGTGTCTAACAACGTCATTCTTCTTATTTACTTTTTTTTGTTTTGGAAAATACAGTGATTTTTCCATAAACAATATGTTTTTAAGCACAAAGTCGGTTTATCATTGTATTTCAAATGAATTAACAAATAAATATTTTAAAAATGCCTTCATTTTTTAATTTTGACTTGCTAAACATTGATAAGTCTCATATAAACAAAAGTTTTTGAGGGGTTTCAATACTTTTGAAGTGTTTTAAGTGCCCTGGGGCTAAACCCTTGAGAACCACTGCTGACATCACCAGTTTGGATGCCTGCATAGCATCTTCTGTGTGACGTCCACTCCCTCCTTGTTGATGGGTTTGCAGCTTGTGTCCAGGTTTACAGAAGCCTGCATCTCTGTAAACAGTGTGTGGAGAGCCATCCCTAGCCCTCCTATATTAATCAAATTAAACAAAATTTATCACAGGATGTGAGCTAAAGGCATTCAAAGGCCATGTTTACACTGAATATATATGTTTGTGCTGTGATGTATCATATTATTTCTACTCTGTAAGGAATACTTCTTTGTCTGGTGTCCATAAACTATTTACAAAATCTGATCATATTCTAGACCAGTGCGACTGACAGCTTAAAATGCTTTGGTACCATTACTGAAATTAGAGGAAGAATGTAGAAACTTTAAAGCAATTTAAAAAGAAATTTTATGTCTGTTGGAAAAAATAAAAAACTGATGTTTGGGGAAAAAAATCGAGTAGTAAAAATGCTGCAAGCCTTTTTAAAAATATATGCTTGGGAATATTTTGGTTGGATAGATTTTTAGAAGTAGAATTGCTGGGCCAGCGGACATGCAGCTTTAAATATTAATAGATATTGCCATTGTCTACATTTATATCTCACTAAGAGCAAGATGTGAATACATCAAATGCACCAAGAGTATATGTGAGTGCCTGCTTGCTCACAGCTTTGACAATACCAAAGATTATTACTCCCCCAAATCTTTCCCTATTTAGAAGGTTAAAAGGTATGTTTTATTGTCCATGACTTGCTCATCGTATTTTTTGCCTATTTTCTATTGGTTCTTGTACCTATTGATTTTTCTGAACTCTTTATATATTCTGGACATGAATCTTATTTGTTACATGTTGTAAAAACTGTACTTACTATGTGGCTTGCTTTTAATTTTGCTTACATGTGTCACTGTAGTACAGAAACTACCTTTAAAAAAAAAAACTTATTCTAATCTATTAATCTTTTCCTTTGTGGTTGAGGACCGTGTGGTTTTTAAAATGCTCTCCATTTCCCGCCACGTGCAGTTTTTCTTTTCCTTTCTTTTTTTAATGTTTAGCTCTCTAACCCATCTGGAATTAATTCTTGTTATGGTGTGAGGCACTGAATGTTGACCTTTGCAAGTCATCAAGTGCAGTATGGCAGGGTGCCGGTGATGGACTTGAGTCCTGTAAGAACCAGCCCACAGGCTGCTTGAGACCTGCAGGGAATTGAGCTGGTCCCCGAAGTGCACAGATAGATTTGAGTTCATCTTGTTGGAGAAGGGAGGCAAGCAACACTTCAGAATTCTTCCAAGTAGACAGCTGTTGCTGTGGGCATCTTCAAAATTAATGAGCAGAGCTGCTGACTTTCTCAAGAAAGTACCAAAACATCCTTAACATGCTGTGTGGACAAGGAGCTTTCAGGCCCATTATGTCACAAATGCCAACATCATGGGTGTAGACAGAGAAGGATTTAGGATACCCATTTTACCATCACAGGAAAATACGTTGCAGAAATGTTCAGAAACACATTAAGGCAAGCTGCAGAGAAAACTGGAAACTAGCTTTCCTGCTGCCAAATTCACAGTCCTCAGGCCTCACGGGGCATCAGGCTTGTCCCCAGTGTCTCTGCAGCTGCCCCTTCAGTGGTAGGGAAGATCTGGCCTTAGCCTTTCCCCAGTCTGTACTTCCCTCACTGTGGGTAGAAGGGACTGGAAAAATCCATTTTGAGAACCAAGGCTTCCTTCCGCATGTTCCTCCTCCTCCTCCCCATGCAGGGCTTGGCGGAGGAGGAGAGTGGGATGAGTCAGGCCGGGAAGGGCAAGCGCAGCCACAAACAAGTGGGACTGACAGGGAGCACTTTCCCTTAGGCGTGTGACCTCCCACGGGCCTCTGGGGACTCTGCCTGAATGGCAGAGCTTCCAAATTTCATAATCTAGGGCTTTGTCGATTTAATTTGCTATATTTATGCAGGCAGCCACGGAAGGGGGAAAACTTTTAGACAGGAGGTCAGGGGTAAGGGAGCAGGTTAGCAATTGCCAGTCTCTCTGTGGAGAGGGCGTGCTATTTTACAGATACCCAGGGTGCAGGGATGGGCTGGGTCTCCATCCTATCCAGCACCAAACCGGAAGGTCGTGCAGATGCAGGCTTGGAGATCAGATGTTCCAAGCCATCTGGTTAATGGGAATCCCATGTACCTGAGGGAAGTTATTTGTCCAAGCGCAAGATCTCTGGGCTCCTGAACAGAATCCGGCTTGCGCTTGTCCCGTTGACTCTCAGGGGAGCCTTGGGGAAGGTAGTTACTGGACACATGACAAGGAAGTTCAAGGTGGGGAATGACCAGAGAGAAATAGGGCCAAGAGGCACTAGTCACCTTGGGGAGCTGCTCTCTGTCCTGAGGCTTAGCTGAGACTAGGGAGGCGCGACACATACCTGCTCCAGGGGGATGACAAGGAAGGAGCCACCTCCCGCGCTCTCGGTGACGATGGCCAGGAAGCGTGCATTGACAGCGCAGAAGTGGTTATCGTGCACGTTCTTGGTGATGGGGATCCCGTCGAAGCAGTGCTCCCGGTTGGCCACCTTTCCGTAGACATTCCGGAACTTGGAGCTGCGGTATTGCGGTCGCCAGGACATCTGTGAGGGGCCAGGAGAGACAGGGGTCAAGCTTCCTGAAGGGTCTGGGAGGAAAGTTGCTCCCTAGGGGTGCAGGAGGTGAGTAAGCCCCAGTGCTGCTCTATGAAAGTAGGGAGAGGAGAAGGAGCCTGCAAGAACTGTGCGCCCAGCCCTGTGCTAGAGGACTTACTCTTTTTAGAAAGTCCCACCAGAGCAAAGACTGGCACCAGGGCATTCACACAAGTCCTGTTTTTGGTGCACACCCCTGTCCCACCTTCCAGAAAGGATGGATAGTCCTTTCACCTCCAAGAACACACCTTGTGATCATGCATCTAGCAACACCCACAGGTTGCTTCCTGCCAGCCCCAAATGTGCTCAGTTCAGTATGGGTGGGGCCTCCCTGGTGGCTCAAGGAATTGAGCATGGCACTGTGAGGCTGTCCACAGCCTCTGCAGCAAGGGTTCAATCCCTGGCCAGCCAGGGAGCTGCCCTGATGGCGCAGCAGACCTCTCCTGTCTCGCCTATTGCTCCCCTCAGCAGTGTATTTCAGTGCATCTGTCTGTTCTGTTCTCCACTCCATCTCTAGAGGATCCTCTCACTCCCCGCGCCTCTGGCCTGTACCCCGGTTCTTGTGTGCATAAATAAATAAATCTTTTTAAAAAATTCAGTATGGGCAGTGTAAACAGAGGGGCAGGGTGTTCATAAGAGAGAACACTGCTGACAGTAGCGGGGCAAGGGAGGAGGTGGACATAAAGGAGATGGACTCCTTTATGTGCAAGGAGGCAAATGACCACCCGTTAGCATGCCCTTCTGATTCTCTCTGGGTGCTTGTAATGCACCAGTGCACCCTCAGGAAAATCTTAGTCCTTTACATTATCATCACCACTACCATCAGGCACAGAAAGGTTAAGTGACTAGTCTTAGATGACACAGCTAATGGGCCATGAACCCAGGTCTCTACTGGAAACCTGAGACACTTCGCAGACTACCTTTTGAAACAAGACTTCTCAATGGGTAAGCCACAGAGCACCCGCATCAAACCATCTCAGGTGGGGGAGGTTTCTGAGTTTCCCAAGTCATTTCTTAGAAATGCTGATTACTGGGTCTCCACCTAGACCTTCTAAATCTAATATTTGAGGACTGGGGTCCCTAAATTAGCCTGCCTCCTCTCCCCACCATCCCCTAGTGAGACAGATGCACTCTGAAGGTTGAGAACCCCCTTCTACACAAAGGAGTGGACCCCCTCCCACTCGTCCCTGCCCACCATTGATGACACAGGCTCCAGAAAGCCAAGTGGGTTCTGTGCCCCTGCCCTGTGCCGTGCACCGAGGAGGGTACAGATGTGCAGGACTGGACCACGGGGGCCAGTGGTGGACAGAGCAGTCAGTCCACATGGAGTCCAGCCTTCCTTGAGGATGGCGCCTCCTATGGGTGCACCCTAGCAACGGGTATCTTCACAGAGGGAGCCAGGGCGGTGCTCCCCCAGAGTTAGGCACCCAAGTGCCACGTGGCACACACACATGCCCAGCCAATGCCCGGCACACAGCAGGAGCTCAATAAGCCTCTGTAAAATAAACCTTTATCCCCGCTCCACATGCCTCCCCCGCTCCCAACACACACACACACACACCGCCTTCCTGTCAATTCTTCTGATGGGCCTTGAGTCCCTGGCCTCAAGGATGAAAGGGGAATTTTCTTCATCAGATATTTCTAGGGGGGAGAAAACAAAAGGAAACTCCACAGAAGCTGGAAATGAACTCTGGGGATTTGCCTGAAAACAAAACTTTGCTTTTAATTTAAATAAAGCCAGGAGCTCAGCCACCAAGTCCTCTTGCTGAAGGAAGTTCAGATGCAAAAAGAATTCCAGAAAAGGCTCCACACCTTCAGGCACATCCTCTTCCTACCAGGAGGTCAGTCTATGCGCATGTTGCACCCCATTCCTGACTGCTTTGCCTCTCTCTCCCAAATTCTGTGCAAGTAGGACTCACGTCAAAGTTCTTCTGCTGGAGAGGCACCGGAGGGGAGTCTGTTTGCTCCCCCTGACTGTGACCTCAAGCAAGCCCTTCTGCTCCCTGAGCAATTCATGTCAGGATTATATCAGGATTCCCAGAGGGGAGCCCCAGGGGGTCGGTCACTTGAGGTTTAGTGGTCACCCCATACTACAGAGATGAAGTTTTCATTTTAGTAGCTTTATATTTAATTTACATTAGAAAAAAATATGATGTGCATGCCAAATCTGTGATTTCACAGATAATTTTTAATGGGGTTAAGTTAAAAAAGAATCCACTCAAAGAAAGATACAGTATGAAAACTATACAGAGACCTGGAAAAAATTCAATCCGATATGGGAATGCTGGGAATTGCTGTCTCTTCCAAGTAGAACATTCTAGATGTCACAGTTCCCAAGGAAAAGAAAGGAGATGGGAGCCTTGTTCCTCTGGCCTCCTGCGCCTTGCTGGTGCAGCTCTGGCCTGAAATGCCACAAACCCCTCTTCTCTGACCAGTCTAACCCTGGCCTTAGAGCGCTACTCCGTTCTGACCCACAGCACCACAGAGACTCCCGGGACTCCTACACAGCCAGCAGCTCTCCAGGCTCGTAGTCTGAAACTTGAGACAAGGACCATCTTCCAGGGGGAGGGTCTCAGCTCAGTGGTGGCACGAAGTGAGTGGCCCTAGGGTCTGCTCAGCAGGACTGAAGACAGGTCTACACGCTTCCTGGTGAGCAGGACCTGGCGTTCTCTCCATCCCTGCACAGCCCTGGGGGCACCTGGGTTGGGCTGACTCAGACCACTTTGTGGCCAGGTGGCCTAGCTCTGAGCTCGTCCTCAGTGTAGACCCTAGGTCTCATGGGGGCTGTGAGGGAGAAGGTGTCAAGGACCAGACCAGAGCCACACAGCCCTAGATGCGAGTCCCGCCTCTGCTGCTGCCTAGCAGTGTGACCCATCCTCCCTCTCCCCCTCCCTCCCTCCCAACTCCCCTTCCTCTTTCCCTCCCTCCCTTGCTCCCTTCCTTTTGTAGAATCCTTTGAAAGGAAGCTGCAAACACCATGACTCCTGCCCCCTTATTCATCAACAGGCATTTCTTACAAGGAAGAACAATTTCCTGCATCAGTACATCACTGTGATCATGTCTAAGAAAATTAACAGCTCCGGATGCCATCTAGTACCCAGCCCATATTCTCCGAAATGCCCTTGACAACTCTTGGAGATACGGAACCAGGGTCGGGAGCCATGGTGCTCCCATGTGTTCCATTGGGTTGTGATCTCTCTTTGCCGCCTTTAAATGAGAACACTCCCATCACCTCCCTCCCTGTTGCAGTAATATTGACTTTTTGAAAACACCAAGTCTGTTGTCTTATAAAATGTTCTCACAATTTGTCTTAGGTTGCTTGTGGCAACTTCAAAGTCATTCCTATGTTTCGTATACACTTTCGACATCAGGTATAAATAAAGACTTGATTCAATTCAGTTAAAGATACTCCTGTTATTAAGCCCTGGGCTTTGGTGGGGGCGAGGATGAAGAGGAGGAGGAGAGGCCAAGGGAACGCACGAGAATGCTCCTGGGCTAGGCAGTGGCAGGCAATGACTATCTCGCCCGTGCCAGAGTTTGTTCTAGAAGGTGGTGTGCAGAGGCTGGAAGACCTAGGGGTCAGATCAGGCTCCAGCAATGCAGTGGGTCACAGCAGGGCATCTGCAGGCCCTGGAGGTCTGACCTTTCCCCTGTGGCAGTTACTAAGGGCTGACTTCATTCTGAGGTCAGCTACATGGGTGTTCAGGCAGGGAGCAGAAAAGACTCCTCCCAATTCTGCCAGAGTAGAGAGGCCATGCCAAAGCTCGGACTGGAGGAGCTGCCCAGACCTCAAAGGCGATCAGTGGGGGCAGCAAAGGGTGACCTGAAAATCTTGCTCCCAAATCTAATCCACATCCTGGGGGAGTCCCCCCTCTGGTTCTAGTGAGGTGAGGACATTTTCCCTCTGAATCCTTCAGGAGCAAGGAGTACAAGACAGACAAATCTGAGCTCCCTGAAAGGAAGGATGTTCTAAACGGTTCAAACAACTGAGATGGAAAAGGAAGGTCTGCATAGGTGGCGTTTCCCCTCCCTGAAGGGGTGCACAAATCAGATGGATGACCTCTGGTCCAGGGCAACATGGAACAATGGATGGGACTAGATGGCCTTCTAGTCCCCAGAAAAAGAGTTGCTGTATTTCATTAAAGGAATTGTGTTGCAACAGAGAGGAGCCTTGGGGTCAGGATGCAGAGCAGGAGTCCTGATCCTGCCACCTTGGCCGGGGACCTTCCTCTGTGAATCAAGGGTCACAGTGCCTCCCCAGCTGGGTCTCTGTGATCCTGAATGGCAGCAGCTGTCATAGCAATTGTCATCTCTTCTGAGGGCACCCACATGCTGATTAACGCAAGGCCACTTATTATAAGCTTTAGATACATATATTTTCTTTTTCTTGTTATTAGATTGTAAGTTGCCTCCTGATCATCCAGCTCCTCCTGGCCCCTGCACAGCGTGCTGCCCCTTACCCCCCAGCCCTCGGTCCGTCCAGCAGAAGCCTCGCAGTGACCCTGGTTAGACAACCTCTCTGCATGGTAAGAGGGCAAGAGTCAAGGTCAGGCACGATTGCCCAGTTCCTTGGATGCCACAGGCTAGAGTCTCCCTCAGGTTCGTCTTCCAGGGCTGTGACTTCAGCTTGCTGAAATTTGAGATTCATCGTCAAGCTAATGCCCTGCTCCTGACCACTGGCAAGGGTCTGGTCCCTCCCCTCCTCCATTAGCACTTCTTGGGCCCAGCCACTCCTCTGTAATGATTGTGCTTCAGACCATGGCCTCCGTCTCCCCTGGGTGCCTTGTCACCAGGACGCCACGCCTCTGAACTCGGTACATGTCTCAGACTGGGGTGTAGGGAGTCCCCTGCCACTGAACACAGCATCAGCAAGGGGATCAGTACCTGCAGAGTTGCTCCCAAGGCCACCTATGGCCATGACCCTCTCCAGACACCACCTCAACCTGCACCCCCAAGTCCTGCTGTCCAGTGGGTAGGGCTGGTCAGAACTACAACCCCACTGGAAATATATAGTATAAGTGTGTCTAATTTGAGGCTCAGAGGGGCTAAAAGACTGGCTCCAAGTTATAAGCTATCAAAGTGGCAGAATCAGGACTTAGCTGAGAGAACTGATTTATTCTGCTATTCTTCCAACATAATACATACCTCCTTCTTCAGCCTTTCCACCCAAATTCTTATGCCTCCATAGTTGCTCCATATAATTCAGGGCAATACACTAAAGTATAAAGAAACTACAGAGGAGACAGGGTTTGGGAGTCTGAAATTATCCATAGATTTCTATCTTGACTCCATCACTTGTTAGCTGTGTGACTTTGGACTAGTTATTCAACCTCTCTGAACATGTTTCTTTATCTGTAAAATGGGAATAATATCACCCAGCTCACTGGATGCAACAAAGGGACCAAGTACAAAGTGCTTGGTGAGGTGTCTGGCACAGGGTGGGTGCTTTTCAGACACTGATTCTTCCCACTGTCCTATAAGGGGGAGGCTCTGACCTCAATTAAGTGATTCTTTGGGGAGGCCAGGCTCTGCCAGAGGAGGAGAGGCCTGGGCTGGGCTAGGCCAAAGGTCAGGAGGCGGGACAGAGATGCTCTGGCCTGCAGATGTGTGCAGCTGCTGGGCCTGCTCCCTGGCGGCCTTGCTCTGGGCCCAGGGCCACGCTGTCTCCCTCTGAGAGGGGAGGGCCCGGAAGGAAGAACTATTCATTTCGCAGCTGAATGGCCCTTAAAGGCTCTCAAGAAATGGAGACTGGTTTTTTATTCCTCTGAGATAATCACTATGTACACTCCACATGGAAGCAAATTGTATCCTGTCCTCTGATCCCAAAAATGATTTATTGTGGCCAGCGGGTGTATTTCCTCGATGATGATGACAAATTTAGTCATTAATGGGAACGCAAAAATGTAAGCAGGCAGTTTTTTCCTTGTTGCTGGCTCAGGTGAAGAGGGAGCTCGTGGCCACATCCTGGGAGGGAAACTTGAGCCACAACACCCGGAGACTGCTGGGGTCTGCCCTGGTGGCTGCTGGGCCCTGGTTCCCCGGGGGGGCCCAGAGGATATGTGGGAGAGCCGCTCCCTGTCCACATGCTGTCAAGGAATGGCTTGTGCTTTTCAACCTGTGCGGGTCAGGAGCTGAGTGGCCGGGGACAAACCACCTTTCCTCTCCGGGTTCAGTGTCTCTTGGGTGAAATGCATCTGTCAACCTATGCTTAGAATATGTTTTTTGGTTGGGACAAGAAACAGGGCTTGCAAATGGCGTGCCACCTAACGGGCAGCAGATACTGTTTATCACAACCTCTGTCCTATCTGCCCACCATATCTGGGTCCTGAGCAACAGTGGGGAGTCTGGTCCTGTGTCATCTCTGAGCCAGCTCTGCTTTCCCAAGTCCAGGGCTGAGAACACCAGAGAGACACAGTATATGTGTCCAAATTGGAGGGAGTAGAGCAATCAGCGCAGGGGCCTGAGAAGCTGGCAAGGCAGGGCAGCAAACATGGCTGGACACCGTGCTTCAGTTCTTCCTCTGCAAAATGAAGAGCTATGATCTTTTCCTTTTAGGAGAAACCTTTCTGTAAATAAAATTTTTACACAGAACTTCAAAATGTAAAATGGCTAGTTTGGAGCTGTTGATATTCAAGACGGAGCACCTTCAAGCAATGGTCCTGAGACTGTGCTGTGGAAACCCTGGGTCCATGCGGAATCTAATGTGAGAGCCTCTGGTGTGAGGAGAGATGCCAGAAACCTGTGTTTAAGTTGGTTCAGCCACTAACTCTTGGGGGCCCTCAGACATACCCCCACCCCTCCATCTTCTCCCACCGACTAGCACAGCCTTTTCATGGTCTGATTGATGGCTGAGTTTTCACTGGCTTTCAGGGTGTCTGAGAAGATGTGGTAGCTACTCAAGAAAATGCCAGCACCCAGAAGCTGCACCACACGCGTTCTCTCTTAAATGATCTCTGATCACCGAAGGCACTGAATTTGGGCTCCCAGTGACACTGGGAGTTCCGTGAGGATCTGTCCCTGAACTCTCTGCATCTTGGGGTACATCCAGTTTCAGCAGGGTGCAGCACAGAAGCTGACTCCCTCACCTGACCCCACCCACCTCAGGCTTAGCAAGACTGGGCTGCAATTACTGGGGAGTAGAAGGCTCTGCAGTCAGCTGACCCACATTCCAACCTTGCTCCTCACCCAGGCTGACCTGGGAGGTATCATCTGACGTCTCCAAAACTCAGTTCCCCTTATCTGGAATGTCACCTCCTGTGGACCCTGCTCCCCCTTCTGAAATGTTCTTTCATCCCTTCCTTCAGGTCTTTCCTCAGTGACCTCTCAGTGAGACCTAGTCATCGTCCACCATACCACATATTTACTATCTGGTTTGTGCCTTCTCCACTAGACTGTCAGCTCCGGGAGGGCAGGGATTGCTGAGTCTGCCCACTGCTGTATCAGCAATGCACAAAACAGTACTTGGTACAAGGCCAACACTCAAAGAAGGCTCCTGCCAGTGGGTCTTGGACAGTAGAGTGCTAGTAAGTGGTTAACAAGCAGCTCCATGAGGGAGGGGGCATTCTGATTTGTTGTGTTTGTCAATTTCCATGGTGTAAATATTCCACTGATTTCAAGGCTGTGGTGTCGCTGAATACCAGTTAGTCCCCCAAAGTCACATCCTCGAAAGAAAGAGTCAAACTGAACCTCCACACCCAGGAGTTCCTGGCTAGGCTCCTGGCTGGGCGCACAGGAAGGGCCACAAGCTGCAGTCAGCCCACTTTTTCTCCATCGCTAGGAAATGTGGAATTCCTGAGTTCCAGGCCTGGTCTCCTTCCATCTCATACAGCCTCTTGGGCAAGTCCCTCCATCTTCTCATCCATGCAACAGGATCCCTTCCCTCTGCTGGACTCTGTCCTAGGCCCTGATGCCATCAGCACGCTGATCAAAGTCAAGTGGAAATGAAAATGTGGGATGATGCCTTCTCAACAGTGTGCAGATGATAGGCCTCGACACTGTACCTGCCCATCACCCATTGCAAACCCAGCCAGACACAGTCTTCCTGGAGCAGGCTCAGCCCTGATCCTGCAGCCTTTCCTGGTCTGCTGAGCGGGACGGGACTTGGAAGGGAAAGGCTGGCAGCCTCCTCTGCTCCAGTGTCTCCTTACTCCCCCTGCCCCGTGGGATGCCCCCTGATGTGAGGAGTCTTTGCTGCAGTTCCCCAGTTCTGTCCAGTGTGCCCCTTGTTCCTGGCTCATCACGCTAGTAACAACAAGCCGGCATTTATCATTACTTACGATGAGCCAAGCATTTGATCCTCATTACATCCTGTCATCCTTGTCACACCCCAAGCACCCGCTGCAACTATTATCCCCACTTACAAGTG